TTTTTCACCAAACACTTATCGAACCCACGAAGGACCAGAGGACCAAGGCATTTGCCACCAGGCATTTGCCCCTCCTAGTAGGGAACTATTTCTACTGGTGAACCATTTTTCGAGTAGGGCTACTCAATGACTGGACGGCAACCTTATCGTTGGGTACCTACTTTCTTCCCAGGGAGCTCTATTTGCGCAAGCAGGGGACCAGGAGATCGACAGACGAGCGCCGTAGGAGAGCAAAAGACCAGCGGACCAGGAGACAGAAGGACTAGGATACCAGGGGACCAGCGGACCACAGGACCAGAGGACCAGGAGACCGGAGGACTAGGGGACCAGTGGACTGAAGGACCAAGGGACCAGGGGACCAAAGGACCAGTGGACCAGAGGACCAAAGGACCAAGGGACCACATTACCAGAGGACCCGCAGACCACGAGGCCAAGAGAGCAGCAGAAGAGGCCTATCAAGGAATATTTTTTGTTTGATCCTGTTCTTATTTTTTTTTGATCCTGTTTTTATTTTTTTTTGATGCTCTTTTTATTTTTTTTTGATACCTATGCCGTGTATTGAGCCGTGTGTCTAGTGCCGAAGTAAGAGGGAGACCCAAGCAGTGCAAAGCACTCCTAGACGAAAAACTCACTCAAAGCGAGCTCGAAATGGGCAGGGGGGACCTATTCTGACTCTCTATCCAAAAACACAAAAAAAACATGTGGAAACTGGTGTATGCTCTCCGCTCACATTCTTTTGGCACGGTCTGGTGTCGACTTGTGTCCGACTCGCGACTGGTACGTGAGTCGCCCCTGGACTCGTCTGAGACAGAACATGCCAGGGTCGGTCTGGTGGCTAGCTCCGAGCTGGGCCTTCTCTGTGCTATGGCACCAGCTTCCCGCTATACAAAGCACTGGACTTACAAAAAACACAAAATGCTTGCAATGTTCCGTTCCTGATTTGAAACTGCTGTCAACTCAATGCGTATGATCTTGGGGCAGTTCTTTTGAAACTTTGGACAAGCTGTCGGCAATCAGGTTGGATCCCCTCACTGATCACCTACGGCGAAAGAGTGGCAGGCCGTCCAGAGACCAGGCGCGCCACTCTGCTCAGCATTGCGTTTCGTAAAAATCAAGCGCTGGCCGCCTCACCATTCGACAGCAACCGATCACATGAAGCAATGCATCCATGCGCATCCCAACAGATCACCCAGATATGACATGTCTTGCGCCTTACCCTTGCCGCCCTTGCCCTTGGACTTCCCCTCGTTGTGGCCAAAGGACAAGCGGCTCAGCTCCTGGCAGAGCCAGCTGAATGATGAAGCAAGTTCCCCAATAGCCTTTGGGCACTGACAAAGTCAAACACTTCTCATCACTCTTCAAACCTTGTGTCTGGTTGACAAGAAGGCAATGTGGGAAAGAAGGGGGAAGCGGGCAAGGCAAGGTCTTGATCGGCATTTGTGAAACTGCCCAGCAGGCAAGTATGCTGCAATTGGAAATGGCCTCTGCTTTCCCAGCATGGCCACGACCGTGCACGGCCGACGCGCGGGACCACGACCTCTATGGCATTCAAGTGAATTTGGCCTTGCTGGTCTGTGGAATGTTGGTGGCTTTCCGATTGGATGTCTACCAGCTTCCTTGGCCAGTGGCTGTCGGGCCATGGGTGCTTTTGGAATTCGTGTTTGGGCAGATGAAGAGAAATTGTCGGAGCAGCTCTTCTTTCTATTCACTGCTTTCTGGGCTGCTACAAATCCTTATGGTTTTGTGGACTTCGTGTAGGGCTGAAGGCTATGTTTGTCTGTGCCTGCGCAAAAGAGAATCGAATCTATTTATATACAGTAGAAATACAGTAGAAAGATTAAAGAGATTGGTGCTTCGTTCTCAGCCATCGCACTGCTGAGCTTGCTTTACCGTGACCGGCTTGGGTTTCACCGTGACCTCAGAGTTGATCAGTAATCCGCCGACCCCTGCGACAGGGGGAGCTCGCCAGAGAATATTGACCATATCTGCTTGGTTCAGCTTCCTGTCTTTGGATTGGACTTAGCCAACATGGAAATGTAATGAGGCTTTGAGCTGAGCAAACATGATCCATTCAACAGCATGATTTGGTCTTGCACTTGGATGCGGTCCAACCCAGCTTCTAAAAGTATGGTCATCCAATCAGGACTTACCAATGTGTCCTCCACGTGAGGTAGCAAAGGGTGGGCAACACCTTCACAAAAGCGCGTTTGCACCTGCGGAAGAAAAAGATATCTGTGTTAGGTGCGCTCAAGAGCTGGACTGGCTCGTCGAAAATACCTTCTAGCTGGCCTCTACTTCAAGCTTTTGTAAAGCCTTCATCATGTTGGGCAAGGCTTTGCCCAAGCGCCTCCACCATCAAGCAGGACGACTGAATTTCTGAAGCACCTTCAAAATTGCATTTACCCAGCCTCTGGTCAATCTCACCACCCAACACCTAGCAACAGAGATGGTCTTAGAGTCTTATTCAAGAAAGGATCGCTTTCAAACGCGTTCCAAAACATCCTAAAACACGCGCCTTTGCAATCACGGCAGCAAAGTGTTCCAAACCTGGAGTTGATGCAGCCTGTTCCTGTCGCAAAACAGACGATCTCATGACGTTGACAAGTTGCTTGTGCGTGGAAGAGTCCTGGATGATCTCCAGCATCTTCTGGAGGGTTGGATTCGGCCCGTTCTTGGCCATGTCCCTGATCCTTGATGGAACAACATTGAAAAATATTGAAAAGAATCAAAAATGCATTTCGAAGTCAAGCAGAAGAAGAATTCAGAGGTGTGTTTCTTGCAGCATCTTCACAAACCGGTCGTTGCTGGGGG